TCTTAGAGGCTTAGAAAAGTTCTATTAAATCTTAGTTGATTCTTTAAGTGATGCTTGCTTGTGATCTTGAATTAGAAGTTTCTTCCTCATCTAGCTTAGCTATTAAGTGATTAGTCATGATTTCAGGCATTCTGGGACTACAGGGAAAAGAAGCAACTTGGAACTACAAGGGCTGAATTGTCAGTGACAAGTGAATGGTCTCCTGATGGTCGATACTTTATGACTGCCACAACAGCTCCACGTCTTCAAGTTGATAATGGGTATGCATATGTTTTGCTGATTTTGTTGTTGTGTAAAATGTGCTTTGGCTAAACCCTAAGGTACCTTGAGAACCTTATGTATAAAATTTCGGTTTGTAGCTTGCAAAGACAACTTTTTTTTCTCTGCAATTATTAGACAATTCAATGTGTAAAAATCACTGCATTTTGCTTCAGTCTATAATATATTTGGATATCTTGACGACTGTCTAGACTACTTGATTTCTTTTAATCTATTGGTTTAATAGTTTTTTAAATCTTGAATTTGGTTATCAACTTTTTCCTTTGCTGATGTTTATCCACCTGCAAATGTGTCGCCAAGACTTAAGGGTAAGTTCTACAGTGTGTTAGTTAGACTAACAATGTTGTATGGGCAGAGTGCTGACCAGTTAGAACGTCTACATTCAGAAGATTAATGTAGCGGAGAGGAGGAAGCTCATATGGATGTGTGAACACATAAGGAGAGACATGATCAGGGGCCAAGGTGGGTGTGGAAACCGGGGTGGACAAGATGAGGAAAGTGAGACTGAGATGGTTCAGTTATGTGAAAAGGAGGCGCACGAATGTGCCAGTTTGGAGGTGTGAGAGGTTGGATGTAGCAAGAGTTAGGAGAGGTCGAGATGGGCCGAAAAAGAGTTGGGGAGGTGATTAAACAAGACATTACGTAACTTTAGCTTACTGAGGACATGACCTTAGATAGGTATGGAGTTGGAGGATTACAGTAGAAGGTCAATAGGTAGCCAAGTGTGGTCACCCATTGAGTGGGAGAGGCAAGGGGCTAGGCCCATATCCTATCCTAGTTATTATATTAGTAGTAATTTAGTAATTCTGTAACCTCTTTTTCTTCGTAGTAATTTTTTGCTATTTGTTGCTTTATTTACTCTGTATCTTGATATTTTGCTATCATATTTTCTTGCTACCCTTCTCCGAGTAACTTCTCTTTTGAGCCGAGGGTCTATTGGAAACTACTTCTCTACCCCACAAAGGTAGAGGAAAGGTCTGCATACATCTTACCCTCCAAGGGTCACACTTGTGGGATTATATGGGGTATGTTGTTGTCGATCCACCTGCAAGTTTAATATAAATTGTTATAGCAATTAATCTATATTCCTTACTAAAAGTTGGCTCTATTGAATTATGGCCCTAATGTAACTGCATGAACTCATAATCTTGTTTGAAAAGCCATAAGTGATTCTAAAGGTATGAGAAGCTAGTGAATAGTGATCATGCTTAATGTTGCCTTTGTTGGACAAGAGAAAGTGTACTTCCAGGTTTATGAAAGCAGATATATTTGGAAACTTCATTAATCAAATACATGATAGCTAATGCCTATTTTCATACTCTTGAAGGGTTAAAGTCTTTCACCACAATGGATCATTGTACTTCAAGAAGATGTTTGATAGATTGTATCAGGTTAATAATAGTCTTGCTTATTTGTTTTCTCTTTTCTGGTCCCAAACCAATTTGCTTTGCCTGCTTACTTCTTTGTTCATTCCTCTGTCAGGTTGATTGGAAGCCAGAATCAGTTGAAAAATTTGGAGACATTGAAGACCTTGTGAAGGCAGTTAGCTCGGTGAAAATAGATGAAGCGAAAGTGCCAGGTTCCTCCTGTTTAAATCTAGTAATGAAGTTTGATGTAATGCCCATTTACTATTATAATGGGAGTTGAAACCAAAATGTCTTTACAGGGAAAGGATCGAAAGCTACGCAGGCCGCTCCAAAAGCTACACAGGCCGTTCCAAAAGCTACACCTGCCAATCCTCCTGCAGCAAAACCTGCTGCTTATCGTCCACCTCATGCCAAAGCTGCTGCTGTAGTTCAAGCAGAGGTATGGAACGGATACTTCATTGAGTACTAATTACTTTTAATAAGTCAACATGTGTTCATTGATAACACACTGAGCTGGTTTAGCAAATACTTATACCTTCCATGATTGCTATTTAATCTGAAAATTCTGAGTCTGTTACTTTTAACACCATTACTGAAAGCCTGCTTTTCTGAATGGACTGTTCTTTTCAGGATTTTGATAATAAAATACTTAAAGCTAGGAATTCACAGAAGATTCTCTCTAAACATTTCTCCAAAAGTTATTCCGGTCACAGAGCTTTTGCACAAAAAAACAAAGTCAAAACTGCAATATGATTAGTTACCTTTACATGAACTACTGTGATGATTAACATGCAATGTGGTAATGACGCGATGGTTTACGAGCTACTTTTAGAATGTCTAAATATGTCAAACTGTCATCTGAAAGTTCATCCATGCGTTATTTCCTGTTTATCTTTAATCCCCCACAACCCATTTGTACAACTAATGTGCTGATAGTATCCATCTGTTTCATTTTGACAGTTATTTGGAGCAAGTCCTTCAGGGTAAGCTTTATGATACATCTTCATACCTTTTCCAGTTTTCTGGGTATATTTCTGATGTTCAAACTTCCAACTACTGAGTGACTATACATCTTTTCGGTATTTCACATGAATATAGGGAGCTTAGCAAGAATGCATTGAAAAACAAGAAAAAGCGGGAGAAGAAAAAGCAAGCCGAGGCTGCATCTGCAGCCGGAGGTTCGTGATCAGAGGCAACTCTGCTGAATAGGCTGTCTTGACATGCACAAAACAAAGGGGCCTAAAGTAACAGGAGGTTTTCATGGACCATCATACGTCCTGGGAGATATTTGATTTGGTTTAAGATAATCGAAAATATCACCTAGTACATTACATAAAGCAAATTTTTGATTCATATATTCTTTTTTAAAATATAGTTTTCAGCCCCTGTACTAGAGCTGAAACAAAATTCACCTTTTTGAGTCTAACCCTGGTGCTGGATCAATGGATCTGTTTGAGCTGCTCATCAGATAAGTAGGTAGTGACAAAAGGCAAGTTTTTTTTTTTTTTTGGTTGTGTTACTTCAAATCTTGTTACCTCAACTCGACTCGTCTCGTCTCCATTGTATCAATACTGTAACATACAAATGATCATCTAGACATCTTTAACAAAAACTTATGTACACACTGACACAAGGGAATATATTGAAACATTAAACGTATCCCAAAAATACAACGAAAAATAATAAGAAATCAATATAATATTTCTTTTAAGAAAAGTGATTATTCAAGCCTCAAAGTCTATCTTCTTCTCCTCAACTGCTTTATGATAACTATTGAAACACAAGAATAAAAAAATAGTTGAAACTATTTTGTATTTTTGTTCATTACAAATTGATAAACTATACACTATTTATATTCAAAAATTCATAAATACAATCATGATTCTAGTTCAATATCACACCGTATCTTGCATGATATTAGTTGTGTGATTCTGCATAGTTAAAACATAGTATTTTCCAATGATCTTTTAAAATCATATCATATAATTGGAAAGTCAACATCCCTTTTCAAGTTGATGTTCTTTATCAAGAAGCATTAATTTGGATAATAGAAATTGTTGTTGTCTCCTTGTCATTGCTTTGAAATAAGACTAGTTTGAGAGTTTACCAAAAAGAATGGAATATGGACTATCAAAAAGACATTCAGACTAGCACCTCTTTGAATCTAATGTCATAATTAGAGATTTGTACACGTGATAGTTAGATTTTTTGAGGTTATAATTACGTTATTTTATTTATGATTGTAAAATGTGATAACTTATCTTTCATTTTTTTTTACTTCTGTAATCTTTAACGACAAATTCTTATTCACGATTGTAAAACGTGATAACTTGTCTTTCGTTTTTTTATACTTCCGCATTTTTTAAGGTTAAATTTTAGGAATCACATAATTTTAATACGAAATTACAAATCTATCTCTCTTCAGTTCACAATTACATTAACCGAATGCATAATATGTAGCTTGGATACATTAAACAGTTTGTCGAATACATTATAACGTAAATCAGATACATAATGTGTAGCTCGAAAACATTAAAAACTATCTCGGATACATAATATGTAGCTCGGATATGTTAAAAATTAGCTCGAATACATTATAAAATAAACCGAATACATAATATGTAGCTCAGATACATTAATTATTGGCTCAGACACATTAATATGTTGCTGAGATATATTAAAGAAATAAGAAATTTTAGAGGTTTTTAGAAATATAAGGGGATATTGGATATACAGAAAACATAAGATGTGTATTTCAGGATTTTTTTTAATAAATTGAGTTTTTGATTGAATTATCTTGATGGAATAAGACAAGTACCATCATATCCGTTTTTGGATCATGACATATAAATATCATTTGAAGCCACGTTAAAAGATATATTTATGTACTATATCTTTTCAATATAGAAACATAGAGATCAAGATCAAAATGTTTCTAATCCATGAACCACCAAAATTCAATAACCCCTAGGAAGTTTCATCGACTTGTTCCTAGACGAGATTTAGAAGTCTTATATGAAAGCACAATTCTCTACACTAGAATGCTCATGTATGAAATCACAATTCTTAATGCCTTTAGGAATAATGGAAATAAACTTACACACAATCTTTGTTTTACAATAATAGCATATCTAGTGAAATTCCATAAATGAGGTTTCTGAAGAGGGTAAAATATACGCAGATTTTATCAGTATCTCATAATGGTGGAGACACTGTTTTCAAAGACCCTTGACTCAAATACAACAACTCTGAGTATAAAGAAAAAGGAGAATAAAACGAACATAACAAATAACAAGGAATTAGTGCAAAAGTCTATATGAGAAGAGACAACTCCATAACAACATATGGGATAGATTAGTAAAATAAATAAATAATAAAAATAAAATTAAAAAAGAAGTACAATAACACAACTCGTACCATCACAAACACCAGTCATCTTAAGCAAAACAACAATAGACTACCTACTAACCTTGTACTCTAGTACCGAAAATAAACTAACAAATGTGGCTTAAAGGCTTCATGCTTACATGTAATAAACAAAAGTGTGTTTGTTACACTAATTGGATAGAGGTTCTAACTTCACAATTTTTTTGTAGTGTTACAAGTTCATCAATAAAACACTGCAAATTCTGATCGGATGAACCACCTCCCGCCACTGCCTCCGCGGCTTTCTTCTTCCAATTCAATGCATTTGATTTCATCTCCGCGGCCTTAGGACCACTGGACACCTCGTGCAAAGATTGTTCAACTTCGTATCGAGGAATAGTCCTCTTCTCTGTCACACCTCTAGATAGTCTTACGCCTATTTTGAATTCGTCCACTAAGTACTTAGCATTCGTGACTTGATCCCCCCATTGTGGAAATGCCACGATAGGGACACCATTCACGATAGCCTCCATTGACGAATTCCATCCACAGTGAGTCAGGAAACAGACTAAAGACGGATGTGCTAAAACCTCTTCTTGCAAACACCATTCCACAACTTTTCCTTTATTCCCAACTTTGTCCAAATAGCCTTGTGGCAAGACTACTGTGGGGAAGGATGAGTTTTTTCGAGGTGGCTTCATGATCCACAAGAAGTTTAGCCCTGAATCCAATAGCCCGTAGGCAATCTCATCGACTTGTTCCTGGCTTGGAACAACGATGCTTCCAAAAGAAATGTAAACAACTGAGGATGGTGGCTTGGAGTTGAGCCATTGAGTGATGGAGCTATCAGCCTTCACTAAGTCAGCACGAATATTTTCTCCGATTTTTGAGTGTTCATCGACTATTAATGGACCAACGGTCTTGATGGGAAAAAAATTGGACATGTAGTTCACTATATCTTTTTCGAGCTCTTCAAATGACTCGATGAAAATACGAATGGGGTTAGATAGGTAATTGAATTGGCGCAAAACTACGTTTGCTAAGACAGGAAATGGATTATATGGGAGCAAGAAACTAGGAAGTTCATCCCATTTGAGGATTGGCATGTTAGGCAAATGAACATCAATGTGAGGATTTGATTCATTTGGGAAATTTTCAAGATTGAAATGATAGTGATAGTAAGTAGAGAAACTAGCACAAGATTGTACCCAAAGGACAGCATAAGGTATATCAAGACTTTTAGCTACATCACATACCCATGGAAGAAATGGATTGTTGATTAGACATGAAACAGGACGACCATTCGCTTCGTTCTGTTTTATCATTTCAGGGAGTAATACCCTGCCTAAAGATTCAAGATTCGCCAGCTCTGTTTCGAGCTGGCGATTCTCTTTAGGCTGAGTATACTCCCATCCATTGAAAAACTCAAATCTAATGAAACCGTCTCCATAAGGAGTTGGCTCATCACTAATTATGTTCTTATTGGCTTCTCTCATATCCTTGCCTACACATTCAGGTGCGCAAAAGGTGACCAGGACACCTTTAGAGGCGAGGCGTTTGCCAAGTCGAAGTAATGGATTGACATGTCCTTGACCAGGAAATGAAATGAGAAAAACATGAATGAATGGATCTATTGGACCTTGAGATCCCATTTTTCTCTAGTTGTGATTATTGATTAGCTACAATGATAATTATGAGCTAGAGAAAAGAATATTTAGGTAGTGGTGTATCTATTTTGTTATTAGTAAGTAGTAAAGTAAAATAAGTGGTGTATTGTTTGTATGTTACACTGCATTATATAATATTCCCTCATTGGTAGGGTGTTTGCGGTCATCTAGGTAAAATTTGATCCAAACCTAACCCATAAAAAATATATTATACTTAATTTGATATTTTTTATTAAATTCATCAAATATTATGCAAGTGGAATTATATATACATATATATATACATATACACACACTAACATTTAATCATAAAATGACAAAATATCACCTAAAAGTAAAAAAATACTTGTTCCGTTTTACAAAAAATAATCTAGTTTGACTTAACACGGAGTTTAAAAAAATAAAAAAAACTTTTGATCATGTGGTCCTAAATTAAAGTTATGTCAAATGAATAAAATTACCCTTCAATCTTGTGGCCTTAAACATGCTAAATGAAAAGCTGTTATAAAAAATTATTCTTTTTAAAAAAGAGATTATTATTTTTTAAACGGAGAAAGTTGATACTTCAAAGTTAACTCACACTTCTTATTAAAAAAAAAAAGGAAAAAAAAAGTAGAATATGAAAAGTGTCAGAACAAGGTCCAGGCTACATTCCAAATATATAAAAGACATATCATAAATTACTCAACTACGGCTTGATTTGTGAGGTTTCGACAATAATAAATTACTTACCATGTGATAATAGGGATAAAGTATTTTTAAACTATGATTGAGATTTTATCTAATTAAATTAAGATTTTATTAAATTTTTTTTACATTTTTTAAATTTATGTGACATTTAAATAACTCTTACGTGCATCAACTGTGTAGCATTATGGAGTGTCCCACGTAATATAAAATTACAAAAAAAAATGAATCCGATGAGATAATATGACCTTAATTTAGTTAAAAGATGTCTTTAAACATAGTTTAGGAGATACATGTACCTTATCCCCGTGATAATATAATTAAGTTTTTGAATATTGGCTTGGATCCACATGTGAGCATTAACGAAGGGCCCAACAATGAAATTTGATACAATATTCAAATCACTAGTAACGGAAGGTCGTGCATGTCAATATTCGATTCTATATTTTGTACTTTAGATGTATGGATGCAGACAATGAATTTATTTTAGATTCAATCCATACTCTAATCAAGTTGAAATGTAACTTTTCATTACTATAGAGTGAGAGTCATCCTGTCACTACATAAGTCTATTGTGCTATAGATTTTGCAATCCCAATACAACTAGTTGTTGCCTTTTGTATAAAGGGTGTTTTGATACCCATCTAGTGTATATTTAATAGAACATCAGTCCTAAAGGTGATACCGAGGGTTGTGAAGCCATTCCCAAGGACTCCCATTGTTACATGTTATTATGATTATATGACTATGTTAGTTTTTCAAAAATGCATTCCTTATTATGTGTTTTCAATTTTTCAAAGTTTTTAAAAGTCTTTTTTCTATAAGGTGAGTTTGAATTTTTTTGTATTTTTAGTTTGTTTAATTAATTTTTTACTTTTATATGATATTGTGGATATATTTATCTTTAGATACTTATATTAATGTTAATATTTTATTTTTTATGTATAGATATGCATCCGTCAAATGTTTACATACATCCTAGTCCAGTAGAACATGATGTAATAAAAATCAAAGTTCATCATTATCCGAAGGAATTTGGAATAAAAGAAGAGAAGTCTTGCTTATATACGCGTCACGGTGATACTGAACTTTGGCAACATATAAAATATCATCCATTACATTCTCGCATTCGTCAGTATTTTGAAAATTGTAGATTTAAAGAAATTCTTGATGTAGGATGTGTGTCGTATGACTCTGGATTAATTTCTACTTTAGTTGAAAGGTGGCGTCCAGAAACACATATTTTTCACATGCGAACTGACGAGGCTACCATAACTTTACAAGATGTTGAAAATTTATTCGGAATGATAATAGATGATAGTCCTATAATTTTAAATGGAGCTAATGATTTAGGGATTATAGGTAGACAAGAAATGATGTTTGAATTAACAGGATGGTTACCCGATAATGATTGTTTTTCTGATGTTAGTAAATTGTTAACATATAAATTGATTGAGTATATTGAAGGTTTGGATGATATTACTGATCACTCAACTGAGCATGAAGTGCAACAAAGATTTAAATTATATTTATTATAGTTATGTGGTAGATCAATATTTTTGGATAAATCTAATAATAAGATTAATTTGGACATTTTAATTGACTTGAGAAATTTAGATGTAATGTCAACACAAGCATGAGGAGCAACCACATTATCATATTTGTATAATTGCTTATGCCGTGCTTCAATGAAAAAATCAAATGAAGTTTGTGGATTTATCTCTTTATTGCATGTATACATATTTTTTAATTAAATATTTTTTATATACTAGTATATGCATTTTTAAATTTAAGTGTATTCTAAGTAATGGTGATTTTTATTTATTGTAGATTTGGACATGGAAATGAATTATTCCCAAAGACTCTAAGGACCAATCAACTTGAGGCTTCAACTGCGCTTGCAAATAAATGGACACAACATAGAAATCATCAAAATGAGGCACGAACTGTAATCGGTGTGATTAGGAATGTACTAGATAAATCTAACTGATGAACATGTATTTAATATTATTAGTATTTTAAACTATTCATATTTTTATCTCATTTTAAATAAAAATATGTTTGGTAGGTTTTTAAATGATGCACTTATGTTTTACTATCCAAGAAAATTATGTGAATAAAATGACATATACATAGATTCTTGGTAGGTCCTTAAAGCAATATATTATATGACATACCCAAGACAGCGATTTACTTAAAAAAAAATCGCTAAATTTTTTTCGTAAATAGCTACATTGGCATCAATTTACTTAAAAAAAAATTCGTAAATCGTTGTACTGGCAACGATTTACTTAGAATTTTTTTAAAAAAAAATTCGTATTTCTTCAAAAGTTTAATTTTTTTTTAAGTAAATAGGTAAATCGCTGCTAAGGCAGCCTTTGCAACGATTTATTAAAAAAAATTGATTTACAAAACCGTTGATTTGTTGTAATTTTTTTGGTTTTAAAAAAGCAAATTGTACAAATAGCTGCTATAGCAGCGATTTTGCTTAACTCCGGCGGACAAAATCGCTACTTCATAAGCAATTTTATTGTTTTGATTAAAAAAAATTTCATATACTATTTTAAATTTTTTATTAATTATTTTTTCATTTTAGGCTCCGAACTCGTGAATCTTGTCTCTTCTCGAAAGAAGAAAAAACTTTTTGATTTGTGTAATGCATCAACTTTCTTTGTTTTTGTATTATAAATTAATATTAAAATACATGTATTATTTATCTACTAGGAAAGTGGGGAAGAATTAATTAAATTATCCTATGCAGTTTGGACATGACAAGGCCTACATAGCAAAACCAATAGTAGTTCTTAGAAGGAAAGTAATCATATTTATTTTATTATTTTCTTCGTCTTTTTTAGTTGTTATGTTAAAAAAATATTTTAAAATTTTTGATTAATACTTATGTATGATGGGGTAAAATTTATCCACACCAGGTGTTTATACCAACCACTATATGCATGTCATGTGTTTAAATTTATAATTCTTTTTACTTCATTAAATCACGTAATAATGCATTTTGCATTGGTTTGATGTAAACACCCGGTGCAAATTTATTTCTTCCATGTACGATGTGTTGTTTAATCATATTAATATTAAAAGTGCAATTTATAGTACTTTTCGTGTATAATTTTTGAATATTTAAATTTTTAGTTTAAAATATCAAACTAATGTAATTTAGTTTACCTTCAAAAATTAAATTGACTTTCGAAAAGCGCAACATAATAACTTAAACTCTTATCATTAAATATTACCCCCTCAGCCTCTAATTAATTATCCACTCTTGCATTGATACGCTTATTAAAAAAACAATAATTGATATAGTGAGTTTACCATTTTACCCCTATTAATTATGAAGTGAATGAATTAGAAACTTAATATTTTCAAGAAATTGCATTTTTTAAAATAATAAATTGAGGGTATAATAGAGAATTTTTTTTTGTCCTTTCTTGATTCGTCAAAATAAATAAGTAATTGAAATAACTAGAAAAAAAGTGATCAAGTGATTAGAAACAGAAAAAATACAATTTACATGAACTATTAATAATCAACTTTTAAATTTTAAAATATAGTTAATATGAATAATTGAATAAAAGAGATTCTTAACAGATGAGTAATTTCTTAAAAAAAGTATTAAGTCAATGCAGACTAGTAAAAATAATTGACTCGAGTTTTTTTTTTTTAAAAAAAAAAACAAAAAAAACTTAAGGTCTAAAATGTTTTTGATGGTTCATTCGTTGTTATGCACAATCAAATACTCATAAGTAAAGGTACTTAATGATGTCAACCATTATAAATTTAATGGTAATATATGTAAAAAAAATAAAATTTAACCTTCCATTAGGTGTACAATTGGTAGGAAGCGCACTACAACATTGTTATTTGGCCGAGAAGAAGTAACAATATTGGAATGAGGCTCAATTGAGAAACAATGATGTATGCATATTGTTGAGAAAAAATGTTTAGTCCTCTCGTCCCAATTTTTTGAATCTATGTTTCTCATCTTCCTTCTAGTTACGTTCTACAATAGTTCTCTTTGTTAGTTTCATTGTCCGTTATAATTTCGAGTTTAGTGATTATAATATTTGAATGTTTCTATTGTAAAATTGAAGTTGTTACACATGATGATATAGTTACAAATGAAGTTGGTCATGTTTAATTTTATTGAAGAATAATATACTATAACTCATGTTCAATTTTACCTTTTTATTGAACTAGAGTTCGATTAATACATATCGTATTTTTTAAAAAAATAACTTTATGATAGTGAATTATACTTTTGTTATGAACCTTTTTGCTTATTTAGTAAAATTATACAAAGAAGTAAATACAATTTTGATAATTTTCCTAGCTTATGGCAATTTTATGTTTATGAGCAAAGAAAATACTAACTTGAAAAATCTCATTTGATTTCGTATTAAGATTTGTAATCTAACATGCCTCTCTTTTGATCAAGACATGGATGGGCAGCCCTAAATCTATGGGTGTGTTTAGAGCGTACAATCGGGCGCTTAGGACGTAAGTCTTACAGAACTAAGCCCCGCATGTCTCCATGCAAGCTTTGAGGCGAGTACCAGC